ACCTGGCGCCCGTATCTCCATCTTTGCCAACCTCCTCCTCTCTTTGGCCCCAGTACCTCTGCTGTCTTTTGTGGATTGCTGTGGAGTTGGGCCAGGAAGTCAGAAACCACTGTAGGTTTCTGGGTGGTGAAGAGTAAGTCTAGGGAACAGAAGGCACCCTTGATGGTTTGAGGGGCTGGTGGGGGAAAGGCTGGGACAGCTGCAGGAAGCAGCTCCCCACACAGCTGTGGTGGGAGCTTGGGAACTGTGTCAGCCACCTGCAGTTGTTCTCAGTGCAGTCCCCAGCTGCACCCCAAAGACGAAGGCTTCAGTTCTTGGCAGAGCTTAATCTGAAGTTAGTTGAGAGGGTCTCTAGGAAGGGCCAACTGGCAAACTTCACCACTGAGGTGCAGGTCAGGTCTCAGAAAGGTGAGATGCTCTCAAACACTTGGAATGCCAGTGTCCTCCCGACTCCCTCTGGGCCCTTTTCTGTGAGCTACTGCATATGACATTGTAAAAGCTGGCTAACTTCAGACATGGCTCAGAGGTTAACAGCACTTGCTGCTTACGCTGATGGCCAGAGTTCAGTGCCCAGCACCCATAATGAGAAGCTCACAACTGCCAGTAACTCCAGTTCCAGGATATCTAATACCCTCTTCTGGCCTCTGCAGGTACCCACACATACATGCTCTCTCTCTCTTTCTCTCTCTTTCTCTCTCTCTCTCTCACTCTTTCTCCCTTTCTCTCTCTCTCTCTCTCTCTGCCTCCCTCCCTCTCTCTCCCTTTCTCTCTGTGTGTATGTCTCTCTCTGTGTCTCTCTCCCACTAATTTTTAAAAAAAGTTTAGTTAATTATGGTTGTGAGATTTTGTTTTGTTTTTGAGATAGAGTCTCACTGTGTAGCTGAGACTGGGCAGGAATTTATAATCCCCCAGCCTCGGTCTCACAAGTGAGGAGATTATAGTCATGTGACATCATTCCTGGCTACATTATTAAGTGAAGCTCTGCTCACCACATCAGTTGGCCCTTTAACTTCATCAGGATGAGGGAACCCACAGTCCTGTTCCAGTAATTAGCATGATCTATAGTTATTTTTACCCCCCCTTCCCCGCCAAGCCATTGTTTCTTCTTAGGAATAAAAGAAAAATCTGTTTCAGTCTGGAAATTATAAACACAACCCTTGGAAGTATATTAATACTTAATGTATTAATTTATAATACATAAGCCATTAAACAAAGTGGGGGCTAGCGAGATGGCTTAGTGGTCAAGAGAATTTGCTGCTCTTGCAGAGGATCTCTGCCTCTCTGGGCACTGTATTCACATTGTGTGCATTTGCATTTGAGTGCGTGCACACACATGCGAGCACACACACACACACACACACACACACACACACACAAGATAAAAAATAAAGTAGATCTTGAAAATGCTCTGAACTCATGTTGGGCCACTTGTAATTAGAGGCTGACAATTTCTTCTTTGTTTGTTAAGTGTTTATGTGGCTTGCTTTGAATGCCCCGAGCCAGACACCGCTAGGCAGTCTATCAGTTTCCTCAGCTGTGGAGTGGGTATACCAGACCGCTACTTTCTTCACTGTTAGAGGCATGTGGCAGTGCCCAGTTTAAAGACAGGAAAAAGCTCTACTGAAATATTAATTGTAGTATTAGTGGGTGTGGAGTCAAGGCCATATTTAGAATTTATTCTTTCACCAAGTGGGCAAACTGGAATCCCACTCACATCAAGTTTTGATGACTGGGTGCATTAGCCTCAAAGGGTTTTTCATCGCCGCTGTCTCAGCACTCAAGACGTCATTTTGGGAAGAAGAGTGCATCAACTGGTCCTGCCCACTTCACCTGCGCTCCTCAGAAGGCCCAGGGAGGGTCCTTTGTCTCCCTAGATGGCAGTGGCTAACATGTAAGTCCCCTGTCAAAGCAAACAGGCAGATAGATGAAAACAATGCCCACCATGTAACTTGTGTGTGTTGCGGGGGGTGCATGTCCATGCCTGTCATAGTGCATGTGGAGGTCAGAGGTCAATATCAGGTGCCCTCAATCACTGTCCACCTTAGTTTTCACTTAATTAATTTTACATGTATGAGTGTTTTACCTGCAAGTATGCACCCTATATGTGCAATCCCCACAGAGGCCAGAAGAGGGCATCAGATCACCTAGAACTGAGTTAAAGGACACCTGTGAGCCCTTGGTGCTGGAGTTGAACATAGGTCCTTTGGAAGAACAGCCAATGTGCTAAACGGCTGAGCCATGTCTCAAGTCTCCACCTTAGTTTTTGAGACAAAATCTTTCATTGTGCTTTGAACTCACTGATTCGGCAAGGCTGGGTGGCCAGCAAGTGCTATAAGCTCACAGTCTCTGCCCCCTAGTGTTGGGATTAGAGGTGTATGCTGCCGTGTGTGGCTTCTATTTTCCTTCCCCCCCTCTCACTTACACTCCTTCCTTTCTCTCTCCTTTTTCTTTCTATCTGTCTTTCATATGAGTGTTTTGTCTCCATATGTGTCTTGTGTACAGCGAGTGTTCCTGGTACCTGTGGAGGCCAGAGGAAGGCACTGTCTCCCCTAGAACTGGAGTCACAGAAAGTAGCATGCTTCCTGCCATATGGGTGCTGGGAATCAAACCTGGATCTTATGGAAGGGTGGCCAGTGTCCTTAACTGCCGAGCCATCTCTCTAGCCCCTGTGTCTGGCTTTTTAAATGTGGGTTCCAGGGGGATTGGACTCAGGTCTTCATGCCAAGAGGGTGTGACCGGATCCAGTTAGCATACAGTGGCATCTGAAGCTTGCCTTCATCTTCTTTATAGTTTCCTTATCAGAGGTTGGAATGGAGAAACACAGGCTTTCTGCTCTCTGAAGTAGGGTTTCAGGGTAGGTGAATACATTCGGGTCTTGATGTGTTCAATGCCAATACCCGGCTCCTTGTCAGTTTACACATCTGCAGGAGTGTGAGTGCTAAACTTAGGCAGGCTACTGGTGGAATAAATGGATGAGGAAATGAAAAAGACATGAAGATTGTGAACTGAGGGACAGAGGCCAAGACTGGGGTCTGATTCTGGTACTCTGTATTAAGTACCGCTTGTGTGTTTCAGACTAAGTGAGGGTAGCAGCAGTTGTTCCAATTCACACCATACCGGCTGTGTGGCATGGCAATGCTCAGCCACAGTCCATTGCTGCTTTTATTCCCGGTTTACCAAACAGCCAAGGTCAGCCTGAGAGAAAGAATTAGTACTCCTTCAGGTAGGCAGCCTGGTAGGACAGAGGAACCACTCTGTCAGACCCTTTGTGTGTTGGGCAGGGTGTCTAAAGGGATGTGAGGTGCACCTGTGGCCTGTGACATCTGCAGCCTTGCTGCTGGGATGCAAGAACTTGCTAGTGTGCCCTGGACATCTGCAACCCTGCTGTCAGAATGCAGGGACCTTGCTAGTATACCCTGTGACTTTGCAGCTCTGCTTTCAGGATGAATGGCCTTGCTAGTGTGCCCTGTGAGTCTCCAATGAGAATAGTAGTCACAGTGGTGAGTAAGCACCCAGACCACAGGGAGCCAGTAGAGCTGGCACAGCCTGATCAGCTGTTGACAGAGGATGAGTAGGCAGGCCTGCTGCTGTGGGATTGAGTGAGGACTCATAGATGAAGATGCTTCCTGAGAGTCCCCCAAACCAATGAACCCATGGCCTTGTACATGCTAGGCAAGTGTGCTCTGCCAGGAAGCTACCCCACCTGCACTTGTTTTTTAACTTGTCTTACTTTTAAAAAAGATGTCAAATTGCACTTATTGGGGAAAGATCAGCACAGGTGTGGAGATCAGAGAACAATTTACAAGAGTTGGTTCTTTTCTTCCACTGTGTAGAAACAGGATTGAACTAAAGTCTTCTGATTCTGTAGCAAGCAGCTTTGCCCACTGAGCAATCTCGCTAGCCACTGTTTAGTGATATAGGTTCTTCCCATGTAGCTCAGTCTGGTCTTGAACTCTGGGTAGTCCAAGCTGGTCTGGAACTCATGATCCTCCAGTCCCTGTCTGTAAACTGGCAGCTAGGTGCACAGAAGAATCTTGTGGGTGGAAGGTAACACACAGAAATCATGTTATAGTGTTGGCCATCTGTAGCCGTCTGTCAGGCAGCCTGAGGTGCTGGGTCTGCTGGTTGCATGGGTGGGCAGAGGCAGTGCAGGACCTACAAACAGTGAGACCCTAAGCAGTCATACTCCTTGCTTCAGGGAATCCTCTGTCCATTGACTGGGGGCATAGAATTCACTTTGGTCTTCCTCAGGCCAACTGACAGTCCGATTGGCTACAGCATCAGGCATCCTACACTGCTGACAGCATGGGCACCGCAACCTCTTCACAGCAGACCAAAGGAAGAGCAAGGCACTGGCTTAGTCCCAATAGTTCAGAGTCAAGAAACATGGCAATTAAAGAAACTGAGGCAGGGCAGGTCATATAGACTGGGCAGCTGAGTGGTGTGGGGCGGCTTTGTTCAGGGCTCATGGAGGACACAGGAAGGTGCCTTTCTTCTACAGACTATGCTCAGGGCAGACCAACTGTGGGGCAGAGTGCTTGCAGGTGGAAAGTGGCAGGAAACACAACAGGGCTGGGCTCAGGGGACAGTGCTCACCCACTCTTCCTCCCTTTCACTGTGTGGCTCTGGACTTTCAAACACAGTTCATTTTGTTTTGGGTAATGAACTTTGCAGGTAACTGGTGTCATCAAAGGACCTTCCTGCTGCAGTGTGGAGGGTGCATGGCATCCATTGCTTGGACTTTATTCTAGAGAGAGCTCAGGTTTGCAGGCACCTGTGCCTTAGGACCACGTGGCATAAGAAAACTTTCTGGGCCTGGTCTCAGAGCTGCTCAATGGGACGTTGGAGGTGTGGCCCAAGCCTCTGCTGCTGCTGCAGGGCCACACTTTAAGTACCCAAGGATAGCTACATCTTCACAGTGCTTGGAATGTAAATTATCAAGTCCATCGTTGCTGTAAATATGTTTTCATTCAAAGGCTTGTTTTGTCTCTTTTAAACAGGTATTTCGATGTTGGACTACACAGTTTCTTAATCAGGTAAGCCAGTGCCTTTTGTTTCAGCTCTGACTGAATAGTGTATCTATTATGGGGGGATGCAAAGGGGGAAAACCTTAGCAAGTGAATTAGTAGTTGAATTATTTGCCAGGAAAACATTGCTAACACTATGTATGTGTTCACCACAAACCCCACATAAATAATCACTCAGATCTGTTTACATCAGAAGCGATAGTTAACTGTCTTGGTTTGCTTTATGTTGCTGTGATAAAAACACTGACCAAAAGCAAGTTGGAGTGGAAAGGGTTTATTCAAGCTTGCAGTCCCACCGTCGAAGGAAGCTGAGGCAGGAACCAAAGCAGAGACCACAGAGAAACCCAGCTTACTGGCTTGCTGCTTCTGCCTTGTTCATTCAGCTGTCTTATTAGCCCGGGGTGACCTGTTGAGGATGGTACTGCCCGTTGTAGGCTAAGTACTCCTATGGCAATCAGCAATCAAGAGAATGTTCTATGGGCATGCCCAAGGCTGATCCGATGTGTCTTCTCAGGTCTAGAATTATCCATCACATTTTCCAAGGTTTCACTTCCATCTACTAGGCCACTGGGAGGATAAATAGAAAAACGAGCTTTATTGGCTTGTGACAGACATTCAGTAGTCCAATTGACCAATTCTCTCCCATTGAGTTTTAATCTTTTAAAACTAAACTTATCTTTTGTTTACAGCCCTGGGAGATATGACCTAGTACATAATTGAGATAATAGACAGCAATTCATAATTTAGTTTATTTAGATTTTTAACCAGAGTTGTATTATGGAGCATATTAATTTCACCTAGCTATGAAATTAAACAAATGAGGTGGAAATAAATGTATCAGAATATTGACGGGGCTTATAAAAGGTATATGATTTTGAAAATCAACTTTGTGGGGCTAGAAAGATGAAGCAGTGGTTTAGAGCACTTGTTGTTTTTGCAGAGGTCCTGGGTTTGATTCCCAGGCAACTCACAGCCATCTGTAACTCCAGTTCCAAGGGGGTCTAATGCCACCTTCTGGCTTCTGTGGGCACCAAGCACACACATGGTGCACACACATCTAGGCATGCAGGCAAGATACTCATAAAATAATGAATCTTTAAAATAAATCAACTTCCCTGTGTTTTCTAAATTTTTCACAGCGATCATCATTGCTCTAATAATGTTAAAAATAATGGAAATGCCTTGTCAAAAATATATGAGGGGATAATGTTTGCTGAAGGAGCCACTGTAGAAGAAATGATGCAAAGGAACCAACCATTAGCTAGAGAGTTGTGCTCTCTTTATAAATATGTGGCACATGTGAATTGATTCTGAAAGTTTGTTAAACTCTAGTCATTGTGGCTTTTGTGTGTGTCTGTGATGGTTCAGCTGGCCAAGGTGCTGACAGGAAATGTCACCTGCATATGGTGCTGTCCAGCAGGAGTCAAGCTTCCCTTGTTCTCTTTTCTAAGACTTCCTTGGAGCTGCACCTTGAAATCTCTTCAGTCTGCCCCACATTTGGGAATGTGAAATGCCTTGATTTTCTCCAAGATGGTAAACACAGATGATGGTGTGTGAACCCAAAATACAGCCAGGGCTAGAACAGTGTATCGGGAAAGATAGTGACCCAGAGAGACATCAAAGAGGTGGACAGGAGAATTCCACTTCTAAGTGGATTATAAAAAGCTGTCTGGGAAGACATCCAGGATAGCAAACCCCCACCCGCCATCTGGGCAGGGAACCCAGGGTCTTGCTAGGTAACACTTACTGCTGACCTATACCCCCAGCCTAGATTCCACCAGAGTACAAAGTACCGAAACATCAAGTCCAAACTCCACACTAACTGGAGCTTGGACTTGATGTTTCGGTACTTTGTACTCTGGTGGAATGTTTCCCACAATGCCTTGTGGTAGACACAAGTTGGTACTTATTTTATTTTCTCTAGTAATTTTCTTCAGGGCAAGGATCACGTCCTAATCATTTATCAATATTCATTTTGAGAAACTTCTATGGGATGAACCTTCAACAGCATTTGTGGCGGGACTGAATGAAATGGGAGAGAGGAGGAGACAAGTTACACTGGGAGAATCTGCTTCTGCAGGCAGTGAGCCTGCCCTTCTCCTCCTGCAAGGATGTGTCTGGGTGCTGTCATTTGCAAACAAACAAAACAACAGCAACAACAAAACCCTCAACATTTTACTGGAAGACATTCCCAGTTTATCCTTGTCACTTTGTGGCTTGACTGAGAGATGGCCTGCCCTTGGGGTCTCATTCTCATTTCCTTGTCCGGACTCTAGGCATGTGGGGTGTGGAGGAGAGAGGCATGGCTGTGCAGTGTAGCTAGTGCTGGATGCCTGATTGGAGCATTTTATTTAGATTGGAGCATTTTAGAAAGGCTGTAGCTAGTTACTCTCGTCAGTGTGGGAAACAAGCGGAGCATGGAGACGGAGGTTTCTCTCTGCTCTGTGAATCCTGGGGGTATACATTATCCCTTACTCCAAGGCAGCCAATGTGGTGACATATTGTTTATGATTTAATAAAGCTTGTCTGGGGACCAGAATGCAAAGCTAGCCATACTAGCTAGCCACAGAGGCCAGGCAGTGGTGGCACACACCTTTAATCCCAGGACTCAGGTGACAGAGGCAGACAGATCTCTGTGAGTTCAAGACCACCCAGGGCTACACAAGAGTGAATCAGTCTAAAAGCATAACAGAGTTCACACCTTTAATCCTAGCACCAGAGAGGTATATAAAGAAGAAGCAAAGGGTCTCGTGTGAAATTTAGTTTCCAGTCACAGGGAAGACAGGATCTCCATTTCAGCCTTTGTAGAGGCAAGAGCTACTGGCTGTTTTGCTTCTCCGATCTTCATCTTGGACCCCAATATCTGTCTCTAGGTTTTTATTATTCGTATTACAAGCCAGAGCAAATGACATGTGTTGCTTATGGTTGGGGAATGAGAGACATCTCCCCTTCTTGTCAGTACCTCAGTCTCTGTGAGCAGGTGTCTACATCATTCACCACATGAGATGGCACCACATGGCATCCCTCGGTAAATGACTTAAAGATCCCAAAGGGCCTCTTCCTGGCTCCCTTACGTAGGGAGTAGAGTAGACAGATATAGCGAGTCCCAGGACAGGCTGCTGCTGACTTTGCAGCTCTGCCTCCTAGCTTGGGAGGTTAAGCATGAGAAACCAAGGGTGATTAAGGTTGGATGCGCTGTTAAGAACTTTTTCAGTGAACCAACGATGCTAAAGCCAGACTGCAGAGGGTACAGAGCAGCGGGGTGACCGTGCAGTGAAAGCTGTGGTGTCATCTCTCAGAGGTCAGTGGCCCTGCAGTGAAAGCTGTGGTGTCATCATCACACAGAGGTCAGTGGCCCTGCAGTGAAAGCTGCAGTGTCATCATCACACAGAGGTCAGTGGCCCTGCAGTGAAAGCTGCAGTGTCATCATCACACAGAGGTCAGTGGCCCTGCAGTGAAAGCTGCAGTGTCATCATCACACAGAGGTCAGTGGCCCTGCAGTGAAAGCTGCAGTGTCATCATCTCACAGAGGTCAGTGAAAGCTGTGGTGTCATCACACAGAGGTCAGTGGTTTTGTAGTGAAAGCTGTGTTGTCATCTCACACAGAGGTCAGTGGCTCTGCAGTGAAAGCTGCAGCGTCATCATCTCAGAGGTCAGTGGCCCTGCAGTGAAAGCTGCAGTGTCATCTTGCTGTGATCAGTGGCCCTGCAGTGCACCATAGAGGGGTGACATTTTTCTGTAAATACAGCCCCAGAGGAAATCTATGGGCCTAGAACAGAGAGTGCTTATACTTAATTCTTTCTGAGGGAATATATATTCGCCCTTGTAAAGGAAGATGAGTAAAAGGGATTGGCATCACTACTGTTTGTTTTTGTTCCAAGAACTGTTTGCTGGTTCCAGCAAGCTCCAGAGGTGTTCACTGCGATGCTCAGTGTTGGCATAAAAGAAAGTGCAGCCCGCCTGATTAGTCAGCTGTGGCTTTGACGTGGATGGTGAGGTGTTGCCTTCCCTGGAGCGATGTGTTTCCCTGGAGCCTACTCTGTGATCTCAAAGCTGAAGGATGAGCTTCCTTGTCGATGCAAGTGTGTGCAGCACAGGGCTCAGGCAGGAAGGGGCAGTCTCATGGGAGACGTGAGTATTTTCATCTGGTGTTTTATGACGACTGCAAGAAAGCAGTGGGCTCCATCCTTCTTCGTCTTACAAAAGTCAAAGGCCTTCTTGAGGCAGAAGCAGCCACTCATCAGAGAACCCCAGAAGACACTGGCTGGAATTTTTCATGTGGCACTACAAAAGAAAAAGGGAAAATGACCAGCTTGGCAAAAAAAAAATCATAGACTAGACTGCCTTTGTCTCATTTTGGATAATAGGCTGGCATGCTTAAATTTAGCTTAGTCCAGCTTTGGCAAGAAAATAAAAAAAAGATTTGTATTTAAAAAAAGTTTGCATTGCAGTTTTCTCTCATCTAGAATTATAGATAGACCCCTTTCCTCTGGCCTCTCCCAACCCCAAGGATCTTGTCATGTTGTCTCGGTTGCCTGTGAGTCCCTCAGTGTTGCATTATAGCCCTACCACTTCAAGGCAAACTATACACATGAATTGTGATGGTTCACTGTGGTCTTCCCTCTCAACCTGATGAGATTTGGAATCACCTAGGGGACACATCTCTGGTCATCCAGGGAGGTCTTTCTGAGGAGGGTACATCCACACTGAATGTGGGTGACACTAACTCCTGGGCTTGGGTTCCGGGCTAAATAGAAGGAAAAAGGTGAAAGCAAGCTCTAGTATCCATGTCTTTATGCTTCCAAACTGGGTGCATTGTGCCCAGCTGCCTCACACTCCTGCCACCAAATGTTCCTGCCAGGGTGGATGATACACTCAAACCATGAACCAAAGCAAGTCCTTCCTATACACTCAAACCGTGAGCCAAGCAAGTCCTTCCTATATACTCAAACCATGAACCAAAGCAAGTCCTTCCTGTACACTCAAACCGTGAGCCAAGCAAGTCCTTCCTTTCTTCAGTTGTCTTTCATCTTTTTTTTTTTTTATTATAGCTTTGAAAATTAACAAATACAGAGATCCAATGCTGAGGGGTGGGGACATTGCTGTGGTCTTCCTGGTCATATGGCCCTTAAATCTTTAAAAATGGGTTTGTAGCAGGGCTGTAGAAGCACTTGGAGTTATGGGCTAGTGAAGACCTAGAATGTGGTATGCAGAGACCAACGGGTCATTCCAGGGGACTTTGGAAAGAGAAATGCAGGCAGCAGAGTCTGGTCTGAGCATGAGGATTCAGAGGGGAACGGGGACTCTGTTGGGGGCTAGGTCAGAGGTCATTACAGTTCTATTCTGACAAAGTCTCTCAAGTGAGTTTGAATTCAAAAGTAACAAACTAAACTGTTTGGTGTAGGAAATCTCAAGATGTAACATTCAGGCTGTGGAAATAGGTTTTGCTCAATGAATCTACTGAAGTCTGTGGTGACAATCGAAAGCAGAAGGACTTGAAAAGGTGAGGGAGGGACATGAGTGGGTGTGTTGTGGAGGTTCTTCTTATTCCGCCTAGGTCCTGCCGATGCTTCAGCCCTAAATGAACACACAGAGACTTACATTAATTATAAAACTGTTGGCAGGTGGCTTGGGCTTCTTATTGGCTAGCTCTGTCTTAGTTATTAACCCATTTCTATTAATCTATGTATTTCCATGTGGTCTTGGCTTACTGGAGAATGCCTGGCGCATTCTCTCTTCCTGGTCTCACATGGCATCTGTGTCTGGCTGGCTTTCTCTGCCTACCTTCCCCAGAATCCTCCTCTCTCCTAGCCCCACCTATCTTCCTGCCTCATTGGCCAAACAGTGTTTTATTCACAAACCAATAAGAGAAACATATATACAGAAGGAAATCCCCCATCATGGATGGAGGTGCAGACACAGTGTTTATAACTATTAGAGCCATCAGTGCAATTGAGGAGAAACCTCACACTTTGCACAGAGACCACAGGAGAAGCATCTTAAAGGCAAGATCCCACCTGTTGTCCAGTTTATAAATAAGGCAAGATCCTGTGTTGTGGTTTGAAATGTGAAGTGTCCTCTACAGGCCCATGTGACTGAACACTTGGTCTCCATTGGTGGTGCTGTTTAGGAAGACTAGGCAACCTTTAGGAAGTGAAGCAGGTCACTAGGGTAGGGCCATGCGTGAGACTTGCCTGGTCTCACTTTTGCTCATTCTTGGCTTCCTGAATGTGGATGCAATGTGACCAGATACCTTCCTCTTCCGGCCACCATGCCTTGTGTGCCTGCTGCCATGCCTTCCTTGGTGTGATGGACCGTGTCCTACTGGAACTCTGACCCCAAATAAATCCTTTCTCTGTTAAGTTTCTTTTTAGTGTATTCTAATCACAGAAATGGGGGAAAAACAACACAAAACAAAACAACAAACAAAGCAAGCTTGACTTTTGAGTTACTCTGAAAGGGATCCCTGCTGGAAAACAACCACCTTAGAAAGTGTTTTCCCAGGTTCAGCCACCAAGGTGCACAAACGCTAAGCAGCTGGGCTGGGATGTGCCAGACTGCCCCTCAGTGTGGCTGCAAAACTCAGCAGTGTTGTCACCATGGTCCCGGCTTTGAAGACATGTGCAAAATTCAAGACTGGGAGGGTACAGAGGCTTTAAAAAGGGTTTAAAAAGTGTTGAAGCCAGGAAGTATCCACTAGGGCTAAAGGCCCTGTGTGGTGATCCCGAGAGGCCGTCGTGAGGAAGCTGTGAAGATGATACCCAAGGTGCAATGAAGACACCAAGATGTTGGGAATGCCAGGACAATGGGGCATCTCCTGAGGAAGCTATAGGCGCAGAGGAGAGCTGGCGCAAGAGAGTCGTGTGTTACAGGTACCAAAATCAAGGGACCTGGGATAGCCAGTGCTGCTGGAACCCAAATAATGCCACCAGATCTGAGGTGCTGGAAGGGAACTACAGAGTTTGACTATTTGCTGTTGGGTTTGTTCTTGTTCTGGTCTCGTTTTCCTTGCCAGTCTTCTACTTCTCCCTTTTGGAAAGGGAACAAACTCTGTGGCATTGTATATTGAACTTACTTGGTTTGTTTATTATTATTATTATTATTATTATTATTATTATTATTATTATGTAAGGACTCATAGTTAAAATTCTGCCTTGAGTTGCAAAAGAGACTTTGGACTTTGAAAATGTCAGAAGTGCTAAGGTTTGGGGGACTCTTAAAGATGAAATAAATATGTTTCATTAGGGTAGTCAGAAACCTTGGAGGACCTCTGGGTGGAGAGATGGACTTAACCCTGAATGTGGGCAGCACTGTTTTACGGTGTGGGAACCTGGGCTGAATAAAGAATAGGATGTGAAGTAAGCATCTACACGTAGTCCTTACCATTCCCAACTCTAAAGACCAGCAGCCTCTGTGTCCCCAGCACCATGCCATCCTGCGTAAGAGTCTGTCTGTCAGGTGTGTTGCCATAGCAACTCATTAGTAATGTGCCATCCCCCTTCCTTGATCTTTTCGTGGGGAGATAGCTTTTAAAACACAGAGCATCACCATCCTTTAAAAGGAGACCTGGGTCACCCTTCTAGTTAACAATTTCAATATCACCTTTTTTTGAATGTTTTTTTGATTGCTTACATGCTTATAAGTATAAAATTACTAAAACCATCTTTCCTTATTTTTAAATATTGTGTACATTTAACTTCTTAATTGATTTCAAATGTGTATTTTGAGTAGATATCTTTTTTTTCCTCAATAGTAAAATAAATTGTTTTTAGCTGACATTTTCACATTTCTTTGAAAGACCGTGCTTGCCACATCCAAGCTGTTACTTGACATCGTGTTGGGACTCTCAAAAGTACAGAGTGAGAGTGCTGCCTTGGGCTGTACTTAGGCGGATGGGAGAGACTGTGTGCCTCAGGGATGGCTCTAGAGCTTTTGAGAAGGTTTGTGGAGTTGATATGCCATTTAGAAAAAAAAAAATTCCTGTGGTGGTTGGTGTTTACTTGTCAACTCGCCACAACATACAGTCACCTGACAGGGTGGAGATGGCTGTGGGGCATGTCTGGGTGGAGGGTGGGGGCGGGAGGGGCAGTGAGCTGTCTTAATTATTAATTAATGTAGGAAGACCCAGTCCACTGTGGGCAGTACCAGTCCCTAGGCCATCAAGCAAGGCTGGCCTGGTTCTCTCTGCTCTTGGCTATGGGTGTGGTGTGACTAACTGCTTGAGTTCCTGCCTTGACTTCCCCTCCATGAAGGACTCTGACTAAGCCCCTCCCTCTCCTGTGCTGTTTTGGTCAGGATTTTTATCTCAATAACTAACAAAACTGGAGAGATGCCTCTCGTACGGGGACAGATTCTGCTCACCGCAAGATGTTTATCGCAGATTTGATCCTGTAGAAGTGCAGGCATTTCTATGAGAACACCCTTGACCCTTCCGAAATGTGATGGCGGGAAGGTAGACCAGGAGGCTGTTTGCTTCTCATTCTATCTTCTTCTGCCCCAGTCTTTTTGGTGTGAATGTGGTATCTCAAATTCCTGAAAGGACAGGGACCGTCAAGCTGAGCAATCTAATGTCACGCGCCTCCGGATTTCCCTTGCTGACACCTCGTGCCTGACTGGTTCATGCCTCTAGTTGTTTAGCTTAAGAGTTGGACTCAAAAATCCAAATGGGTCTCCACTTGGAGTCCCATTAAGAGCCACAAAGTGGTATCATAAATATTTGTCTTGCTTTTTTGACCAGGCTGGCCTTGAGACCCTGGGCTCAAGTGATCCTCTTGTCCCAGTCTACTGAGTAGCTGGGACTACAGGTGTATGTCAATGTAGCAGCAACAGTCCCTCCCCTTTTAAGGTAGCCAGTGTCAGTTACAAAGTGAACTACTGTAGTTCATTGTGGGGTTCATGGTGTTGATGAAGATGTCTGCACACCATCATTGCAAGTTTGTTGGGAAGAAGCTCCCTTGCATATTTAAGAAGTCAGGTGGTCAAGTGAAGGATTCATTCAGGGTAAAGGGTGAGAAGAAGGGAGACAGCCACTGTGTTCAGAGGTCCCTTGGGACTCCTTTGGTTCCCAGATGGAAACCAAGAGGGAGGCTGAAGGGAAAGGTGGGGGTTCATCCCTAGGATAAGACCCAGGGGGTAATGGGAAGTAAAAGTCACGCATATCTATTTCTAACACACATGGAGGTGACAACTCAGAAGGAAAACACTTGCTTAGTTGCCGGATTTAATTTCCTTTTTACTTTGCGAACATAACACCTTCTTTTTTAGTGTTAGTAAATGTTTTTAAGTAATGAATGGTGTAGAACATGGTCTTATTAAAATAGCGTTTATATTCTT